GATAATTCCATCCAAGACACACACAGTCTCTGAACTCTTTCATTTCCAGACATCCTGGGCTGAATGCATGCGACCTCCAGTGCCATTCCAGATCTTGTTCAGGGCTGACGAAAAAGAAGCCAGGTTTCTAAGCAGGCCCAGCTGTGGGCAGTGGCCAAGCTTCCTCAGTCAGTGCTGCAAGTGGGGCTGAGTAAAGGGGTAAGGACTGAGGAAGTTTGGGAAAGAGGCATCAAGTGAGGGATTTGTGTATGCACCTGTGTCACAGTGTTTCCTGTTCGGACAAAGAACCAGGTTGTTCATCACTGGTGAATCCCTTCCTTGCCCTCTTTCGTGGTGAACCCCTTCCTTGCCCTCTTTCACTCCTCTCTAATGTTCAGGATATTTTTCAACTTGATTTCCTCTGTCTTATCTCAGCTTCAGCTCAAGCTTATTGAACAGAACCAGAGCTTAGAGTGCTGTCCTGACATCAAGAACCTTGCTTTGCCCAGTTGGTCACCATGACCCCTAAAGTTGTCAAAGCACAGGGATATGAATGGGAAAACCTCTGTCTTCCTGCCTTTCTGTCTGTCTGTCTACCAGTGAAATGTTACTCTCTAACACTCCCTGTGGTATTCCTCACCTAGCTGGGATCCTATCTTTCTGATGACTTCCATGACAGAATAAACTAAGGCCTCATTTGTCTCATGAGGAAGAGGAATCGAAAGGGCTTGAGACAGCACAAATTGGGGACTTTAAGAATATCCAGAACCTTAGAACCAGGGATGGGGAGCCAAAGTCTGATACTCAATGCCAGGTCCCCAGTACTATGGGGTTCAGGGACAAGGGCCTAGAACAAGGGAGTAGACAGAGGGCTCATCTGGGTCTCCTTAGCTGCAATGGCCAGAGCCCACAGCTTCCCAGGGACTCAGAGAACTCTGAAGAATGAGGGAGGGAGGGAGGGAGGGAAAGGTTTTGGACACCTGAACCTTGGTAATCAGTCATTGGAGTATAGGATATGATGGGAAGTGGGTTCCAGGGATGCTACTGAGTCTCTTCAGACTCTTAATCTCAGAGGACAGTAAGAGCTGAATGCAGAATATGAGCTTTCCAACCAAGTGTCTGAGGAGTCTGAGGAAACTCAATCTAGAATTGCATAATGAAAGGTATCGGGTATAGGCAAAGGGCATAACCACAGAACAGCAGAGCACTCTTGGCCACAGATGACCATTCAGCACACAGATTGGGACAAAAACAGACTCCTTGGTTTAAATGTCCCATTGTACCACAAGAGCCTACAGCTCAGGACAGAAATCCAAATGTCCAAAAACAGATGAGAGGATGAAAAATGTGTGGCACATATACTCTATGGCACATATACTCCAATTAAGCCAAAAAAAAAAGACCCTATAATTTGATAGAAAGTTGTCAAATACGGAAGATCTATTTCTGAGTGCAGCTAGTCAGGATATAAAATGAAAGCTATTGTATGTATCCACTTAATATATACCAACTATCTGCAGTTTATAGAAGAGTTCAAAATATTGGAGGGCATAAAAGCATGAAAATAGGTATGAAGGTGGAGACACTGTGGAACAGGGATAAAGGGGGAGACAGGAAGACTATAAAGAACAATAGCAAGAGAACAAATAGAGAGGCATGACATTAGTGGGACAAAGAAATGGTTAATTATCTGTTGACGATAACATGTATAGTATTCTCAACTGGATCTAGAAGTATTTCATGTTGGGTAAATTCTCTTTATAAGCCAAATGACATATAGTGATCAAGTGTTTAAAAAAAAGAATGAGACTAAATAATAATAATAATAATCTGAAAAAAGTTATGAAAAGCTATTTGACGATGATGGTGTGGATAGTAATGTCTTTGTCTTGACTGATAAGCATGGTAAACATGCTGGAAAAAGAAATGTAATACACTTTAAAATATAGGTGACTAAATTTAAGATGAAGAAGGACATTAAAGAGAAAAATAGAGAGGCAAGGCATTTATGGGACAAAGAAATTGGTTATTATTCATTGAAGATAACTTTATAGTATTATCAACTGGACTGGTGAGAAATGTACACATATTGGAATATTCACTTTGCAAGCTAAGTAACATGTGATTGAATGTAGAAAACTAATTGAAAAAGAAAAGTAAAAAATAAAATATAAAATATACTTAAAAACATAAGAAAATGATAATAATAAATAAAATGAAAGTTTTTGAAAAAAGAAACATTCTGGGACCAGCAGTCAGCGTAATGGCTATGTCACTGGACTCCCACGTAGTCAACCGTGGTTCGCGTCCCGGACCCGGTGGCTTAAAACTCATGCCGGGTGCGTGTGCGTGCATGCCCAAGATCCTGAGAGGAGAATGGAGGAGAAGGGATTGAGGCATGACCATCCCCCCTGGGGGGTGATTTCTCGCTTTCTATCTCTCTGTCTCTGTCTGTCTGGCGAGCGCACACGCCCTATAGCGAAAATGTCTCCAAAAAAAAAAAAAAGAAACATTCTAAGAATGACCTGAAAGAGATTCAGAAAGCTCATCTCATCTGCTCATCTCCTCAAGCAGAAAGGCCAAGAAAGACGCTGAAGGAGTGTCAGTAAGGGCAGAGACAGGTGGTTCAGGGGCAGGGGTCTGTGTGGCAGGCCATGGTCAAGAGGTGATCATCACAGGTGATAACTGATTTCTAGCTCAGGGGGAACAAAGGAAAGGAATATATTTCAACAAGTCACCAATCCACCTCCACAGCGATGTGGGGGCCTGTAGGAAGGGTTCTGACCTGACACTGAAGACACAAGCCACATCCTCACAAACTGAGATCTGAGGATGAGCACTGGACATTTTGGCAACTTACCTCCCGCTCCTCCACTTTTCCCATAAACCAAGGCTGCCCCATTAGACACTCTGTTCACACCTTCTGAGGACAGACTGTCTCCCTTAAAAAATATTTTTCAATATATTCAGTTTGAGGGCACAGGTCTGCCTGAGAGGAAAAGATGGTAAAGCACCTTCAAAAGGGTCTGATCTCACTGCAATCCACATTGCACATACCCCAGTTCTTTGGGTCCCTTACCATGATGTCAACGTGCTGGGGAACTATGGGATTAATAGCACCACTAGACGGTTTACTAGCAACTGCTTCACCAGGATAGGCACCACATAAACGTTTTCCAACCAAATGCCAGACATCGTATCATCTCACCAGGACAGCATCATTAATGGGGTATATGGTGAATGTGTTCGTGAGATATACAGATATTTCCTAAGCTGCTGCTGTCTTCCTTGCACGGCTGTAGCAGCAGCAGCTGAGCCGTGGGGCCTGAGATCTGTCCATGGCCCATATGCAGCTCAGGGACTTCCCTGCAAGAACTGAGTGGGACTCTGTGCTCCAGGATTAAATAAATAGCTGTTCTAGAAAAAAGATCAGGTGTGACTTTCTGGCAACCTGACTACTTGGGACGATTATTCTAAACATACGCAATGTCGCTGGTATCTGTCTGCAGTCTTTGTCTAGGTTAACCAGTCTTCAGAATTCTCACGAGACTCAGGGCTAAAAAATGACCCAATCTCGTCTGGAAATAATTCAAATTATTCTCTGAGCAAGACAGTCCTTACTGGGGTTTCCTTTTTTTCAATATTCAACAGTTATGTCCATCACATGGCAAGCAATGATCACGTAGATATTTCAATTCAGTTCCACTGATTTGGGGAAGATAAGGGTCTATGAAGGGTCACTTCATATTCTCTATTCACCTAGAAACATGCTTTCTCCATGTATACCCGTTGGGTCTTTGGTTCAACTAACAGTTTCCTCATGATGACCTGGTTGCCTAATGTCTCCTCTACTTAAATTCAGACTCACGGGGACATCTAAGTACTACTCTTACATCCCACATAGGCATCTACTGCGTTTCCCTCTCTGTTTTTAGGACAACTTGTCCATTGGAAACCTCTTCAGAAAGCTGAAAATTCTGCAATAAAAACCCAGTAGACCTGGATTGTTTCATGCTTTCTGCTGAAACAGTATGTTATTGTAAATATTCTGTGCCTTCACTTCACATTCCTACAATAGGCCATTGATCTTGAATGGATTTGCCCTGTGGTGAGAGGTACATTTAGTGACCTAAATAGATACACCTTTCACTTGGCATTTAAATTACCCTATACCATATGCACCTAAAAAGCAAATGAGACACTGATGGTGACAGCAGCCACTTCTATATCCTCCCTGGAGGACAAACTTGATACATCATAATGGAAATGAGTGAGACCCATCCTCAAGTGGGTCAATGTCAGGAAAGTGGAGAGGAGATCCCAGGGGTCATAGTGGTATGTGCCAGAAGCTTCCTTAACCACTAAACTCCAGAATAAACTGTGCCTCAATAAAGAACTGGAGAAACAAGAGGATGCTTCTTGCCTTTCCTTGTGGTTACTCAATAGATCAGGGTTATTTCACCTCTAAAGAGATGAGAGTTCAGGGAACCAGCAGTTAGCGTAATGGCTATGTCGCTGAACTCCCACGTAGTCGACCGCAGTTCGTGTCCCGGACCCGGTGGCTTAAAACTCACGCCGGGCGCATGTGCGTGCGTGCCCAAGATCCCGAGAGGAGAATGGAGGACAAGGGATTGCGGCGTGATTTCTCGCTTTCTGTCTCTATGTCTCTCTCTGTCTGTCTGACAGACAGACAGCGAAAATCTCTCCAAAAAAAAAAAAAAAGAGATGAGAGTTCATGGCCCCTCAAAAAAGTTCACCTTCAGGGAGGAAACTCCACTGAGCTCTTTCCCACAACCAGGCAATGTTCAAGGGAAACACTGCATCTAAAACACTGATATCCACTGGACTCTACTGCTTGGCATTCTGTAGTAAATGACATGGAGACACCTGTCCCATCTTGAGTTGGAGGGGTGAACAAGCTATGGTTTCTCTATTGAGCAAACAAGCCAGAAGAACTGAATGAGCTTCCTCAATCACAGCTGCAGGTGGGGGCTGAGAGGGAGGGGCACAGGGGCTACACAGGCAGAGCTTTTTGTATGAGTTTGTGTCACAGTGTGGAGTGTTCGGACAAGGGACCATGCTGACCGTCCTAGGTGAGTCGCTTCCACCCCATTTCCCTGCAGTTGCCTAGGGTGTGGTAATTTTTATATGGTTTTGCTCTTTTCTTTCTGTTGTCTCAGTTTATACTCAGGATTTCACCCAGGACATCAGCCTCCAGGGTGTTGAACTCTATCCTCCCTCCTAATCCTTTTGCCAGCTTCAGTTGGCCAACACTGAACCCTACAGCACTGCAGGGGATTCGATGGGATGTCCTCTCAACCTCATGTCTGTGTGTCTGACAGAGCATATGGGTCCCTAAGACCCACTCTGTTTTTTCCTTCCCTGTCTATTCTCCTGTCTGTCATAGAGGTATACATGTAGACCAGATGGGATCTCATCTCATGGGGAATAAGAAACAAGGGATCCTGTGGAGTGAACACTTAGACATTTAGAATGGGTCTGAACCCTCACAACCAAGGCCAGGAAACCACAGGGTAGAGGATCAGGATCAGGTTTCTTGAGTACTGGGACTCAGGACCCACTATCTCGGACAAGGCATAGGTCAAACTCTCCCCATGGGGGCTTCAGTATCCTGGTATGGCCATAGTCAGATACCTGAGCTAGTTCAGAATTCAGAAAACCTAAGAAATGGAGGACAGAAGTGAAGACTCTGTGCTCCAGAGGTCTGGAGAACAGTCACCTAAGGACAGACTATGAGGTAGGTATGTTCCTGATAATGTACAGGACAGACTCCCTCCTATGGCTGAATTGTAAGTAGAAACAAGAGCAGAATTAAATCTTTTTTTGTAAAACTCCAGAGCTGGATTAGAGTGGGTACATGGATAGTGTTGAGAAAGAGTCGTGAACAGACAGATTGTCCCTGATCCTGCAAGGCCTAGGACCTGGTAGAAAGGATAACTCCAGGAGACATATTTGAGTAGAACAGTTACCGAAGGTCCAGGATCACAGAATCACACTGAACAGAGTAATCAGGTCAGAAATGTCCCCCCATGATCAGGTAGACAAAATATCTCCAAGAGACAGATTTGGGTAGAACAGTCACCAAAGGTCCAGGATTACAGAATCCCACTGAGCAGGATAGTCAGGTCAGAAATGTACCCACAGTAGACCAGAGAAGACCTTCAGACTGCTCATATCCTCCATTTAAGGTTATGCAGATAGTATCACCTGTAAGTAGAACCCTCAAGACTATCAGGAGGAGGAAGAGGCAGGCAGGTCATGGTCAGATATTAGTGTAAGAAATTGAGTTCAACAGAAGTCTCAGAACTGGTAATGCTCTGGGGTCTAGCTCAGGGGATCCTACAAAAGGAGGACACTGTGCTTCAGCAAGTCACCAGCCTAACTCCCAGGAGATGGTGTGGCAATGTCTAGAGGGTTCTGCCATGGTCTATCCTCACAAACAGCTTTGCAGTTGATGTGGTGGTCTCCTAGCAACTCACCTACCACTCTTCCCTCCCCACCTTTCAGGTCAGGAAAAGGCAGCCCCCAAAGTCACTGTGTTCCCACCCTCCCCTGAGGAACTGGCAACCAACAAAGCCACAATGGTGTGTCTGGTGAACGACTTCTACCCACGTGCCGTGACAGTGAAATGGAAGGCAGATGGCACAACCATCACCCAGGGCGTGCACACCACCAGCCCCTCCAAACAGAGCAACAACAAGTACGCGGCCAGCAGCTACCTGAGCATGACTGCCGAGCAGTGCCGATCTCACAGCACATACACCTGCGAGGTCACGCACGAGGGGAGCACCGTGGAGAAGAGCGTGACCCCTGCAACATGTTCTTAGCGCCCCACTTTCCACTGCATCTCTGGGGCCAAGAGCTAATGACCCCCAAAAAGGGTCTTCCCCTCTGTCTCAAGTTCTCCTAGCCCTTCCTCCTGAACCTATAAACTCTCAATAAAGATTTTAATTTCAATCAGAAGACTTGCTCGTTCTTCTTATCTCATTAATTTACAACCTCCTTGGTTCTCACAATGGGGAGCACACTCTCCTGGCTACCAGAACAGAGACTCACACGCACCCAGGAAAACATCCCATGAGCTCTCATTGTCACCCAGACAC